GGCCTATATACAGTATGGATACAGACGCACATAATATTATACATACAAACGGCCGTGTGTGAATAGGTCTATTTATTTATATACGGTATTATTATAGGCCTACATTACATAGTAGGCCTACAGTATACATAATATATTGTATATATATATATATATATATATATATTGATAGATAGATATATATATTATAATATAAAGATGAATGTTCATATATAAATATTTATATACATATTTATCTATTTGTATGGTAAAACTAGCCTCGAATCATGTTTTCTTTATTCTATGGTATGAAAGTCCCACATTGTACAAACGCATTCAAGACATGGTTGTGATGAATTATTCATGATAGAGCATGCCATGTGGATGAATGTGCATAAGCACACCACACCTTAACCGTTAATCTCAGCATTCCCATCATGCGTATCGAAATTCACCGTTCAAAATAGAATTCAAATTCAAACTTATGATCGGCATAATGAGATATTTCTATGGCAACGTTCCGAGGCCGCGTGATGAGTCATTGGTGACGTCATGTGCATTTATAAACCAATCCCCGGACCGTTGCCGAATCACTCTTCATCGTCCTGTCATTGAAAACGGATCGGAGAAGAATTCAAAAAACGAGTCTTCACGTCACACCCATATCAGTTAAAACCAAAAATCTACAAATATGGTGAGTGAAATGTTTTCCTTTATCACATTCAAATATTTATTGAATTTAAGAAGCCGCGCTTTAATCCCACAGTTATAACCCGGCGGTTTTTCATCGTCCTTGTTGTGATTTAAAGCGAATTTTAAGTACATTAAATTCAAATATCGATTAAAAAAAAATAGTTAAACTTGTTAGTGCTACTATAGTGTTATGTGAATTGAGTTGGTCATACTACCATATTTTCTTATACTGGAATAAAACTGGAAAAATATAGAGATAGGCCTTCAGTAACAGTATTAAATAAGCCCAGCCAACCTCGTGGTTTGTATGTGCTCAGCTCGGCACACGAGGTGCTCGGTTGCTGAACAATAGACTACAGTAATTAGTAGGTAGGTCGACGACAAAGGAATCGATCAGATACGATCCTTGTTCTAGTAGATAATAGAAACCTTGTCTTCGCAGGATTCCTTAAATACAATTAAATCACAGCATGCTTGTCTTCTTTTAATGAAAAGATTTAAATAATTAGAACGCGTACTTGGACTAGTCGATACGCTAATTGCTATTTTATGCATAGAGTAGTACAGAAGTTGAATAGCACCTACCAGTGTAATCTAGTAAACCACAGCAGGTATACCTGTTGTGCGGACATACTGTAGTAGATTGAATCGTTTCATTGTCTTGAAAATGCGGAAATAACAAGATAGAATCCATTAATAGTTAAGCAATTTGTGGGTTTGAATGCGGAATGAATAACCAGCTGCTAGTCTGACCTTTGAATGTATTGATCTCTGATGGTGGTTCAAGTATTTAAATGATGCAATACTGCTGGTGAATTGGCCTATATGGATAATTAAATGTTTTTTATGAAATAGAAAATATGCTTATGCATTCGTACATTTTAATGCCCTTTTAAAATTTCCGAATCGGCTTATTTAATGAACGGAGTTCATGCCATTTTATTTATTTAAATCTAATTACAGTATAAATTAGATTTATAATTTATGCTTGGTTGTATTCTCATTCATTGTAATTATTATTATTTATTCCATAATTTCAGCGTGAATGTATTTCCATCCATGTTGGCCAAGCTGGTGTCCAGATCGGTAATGCCTGCTGGGAACTGTACTGCTTGGAGCACGGTATCCAGCCTGATGGTCAGATGCCAAGTGACAAGACCATCGGAGGTGGTGACGATTCCTTCAACACATTCTTCAGTGAGACTGGTGCTGGCAAGCACGTTCCTCGTGCCGTGTTCGTCGATCTTGAGCCAAGTGTAGTAGGTTAGTATTTAAAAGATTTAAAATTTCATAAGTTCTTCAAGATCACTAAAATACTCGCATCCATCAAAACTCGTGCTAATGTCATTCATACTTTTAATTCCTGCAGATGAGGTCCGAACCGGTACATACCGTCAACTCTTCCATCCAGAACAACTGATCACCGGCAAAGAAGATGCGGCGAACAACTACGCCAGAGGCCACTACACTGTAGGCAAGGAACACATTGACATGGTACTGGACAGGATCCGCAAATTAGCAGATCAGTGCACTGGTCTTCAAGGATTCTTGATCTTCCACAGCTTTGGTGGTGGTACTGGATCTGGCTTCTCTTCGCTCCTCATGGAACGACTCTCTGTCGATTATGGAAAGAAATCCAAACTTGAGTTTGCCATCTACCCAGCACCTCAAATCTCAACAGCAGTTGTAGAGCCATACAATTCCATCCTGACTACTCACACCACTCTCGAGCATTCCGACTGTGCCTTTATGGTTGATAACGAAGCCATCTACGACATCTGCAGAAGAAACCTTGATATTGAGAGACCAACCTACACAAACCTAAACCGTCTGATTAGTCAGATTGTGTCATCCATCACCGCTTCTCTTCGATTTGATGGTGCACTGAATGTGGACTTGACAGAGTTCCAGACCAACTTGGTACCCTATCCACGTATTCACTTCCCTCTCGCCACCTATGCTCCAGTCATCTCGGCCGAAAAGGCTTACCATGAGCAGTTGACCGTTGCAGAAATTACAAACGCTTGTTTCGAGCCAGCTAACCAGTTGGTGAAATGTGATCCACGTCATGGCAAGTACATGGCTTGCTGTCTGTTGTACCGTGGTGACGTCGTACCAAAGGATGTCAATGCAGCCATTGCTACCATCAAGACCAAGAGAACCATCCAGTTTGTTGACTGGTGTCCAACTGGTTTCAAGGTCGGCATCAACTACCAACCCCCAACCGTGGTACCAGGGGGTGACTTAGCCAAGGTACAACGTGCCGTGTGTATGTTAAGCAACACCACAGCCATCGCCGAGGCATGGGCTCGTCTCGACCACAAGTTTGATCTGATGTACGCCAAGCGTGCTTTCGTACATTGGTACGTAGGTGAAGGCATGGAGGAAGGAGAGTTCTCGGAGGCTCGTGAGGATTTGGCAGCCCTGGAGAAGGACTACGAAGAGGTTGGCGTTGATTCTCTTGAAGAGGGTGAAGAGGAAGAGGGCGAGGAGTATTAGATCTGCTCGCGTTCTAAATCAACATTGCCTAAACATTGCCTAAACATTGCCTAAATACAACGTACATATTAATAGTAATGGTAAATCACCCTTTAGACGAAAGAACATATTTATACCACATTTTGAGTGGTGCTCACTTTAAAGTTGCAATAATAATTCAATCTCACTGAAATCGTCCTTACTGAACAGGGAAACCATATCTTTGTAGAAATGTTTTTCAAGCATTGAGGAACTCGTTTCATATTTATTAATAATAAATCAACGTTGTAAACTATTTAGATTTTCTTCCGATTCTTGTAAGTCTTGTTAGATAGATGTGTGAAAGAACGATGGTGTGAGCAACAAGCATTCAGTGGCGTTTTTATGAGTGCGCGAGACCCCACCCTCGTTCCCCACCCCACAATCAACGACTAAAACTACAACCTTTATTCAACAATTGGTGTTATTCAAGAGGACGCACACAATCACTTCTGCAAAACATTAATACTGTATTCAGTAACATTTAGTGTCCATGATACAAACCTGCCTTATGAATGATTATTTCATTTCCTTTGATATTAATTCGTGCATTCAATCACAAACCTGTACAGTACAGTAAAATCAGCATTAAAGCATAAAAATAGATAGAAAAACATACACAAGCAGACATGACTGCGTATTTTACTACAATGAGCCTGTCCAACGGCTTAGAACAAATAAAACAAGATCATCATTGAATTGACTGAATGGTTGAACAAATCGGAAATATCAAAATGTACACAACAATTACACTAACCATGCTTTCAGTATAAGAAATTTCACAATCAAAGTTTGCATATAATTTTGCTAATGATTCTGGATCTCGGCTTTTCTTATTTTACCATACTCCTACAGTGCTTATTCCAGACCTACAAAGTCTCGTGCATTTGGGATCTATCTCGCACTTAAGGACCAAAACCTCGTGCATAGCCTAAATGTTATGCCTATATTATAAAACATATATTATTATTTGTGACCCTTGTAGCCATCTTATTACTGTGTTACCATGTATTTAATGGTAACATCATGTAGGCCTACACCAACTAGCTGCATAAACACTGTAAATATGTCGTTTTATAAAGCGCTCTCGGATAAGATCGAGAAAAATGCAGATCCTAAATGCATTTTAGAGCACTTAGGAAATAAAATTTCCCCGAGGGAGGGGATAAAGCCTCCCATACACATAAGGGAGGAATTTTAAAAAGTCTGGAATCTGCTATTCGGGGGTTTCCAACAACTTTCCTCATTTGTTGTGTTGCGTTTGATTTCCTTTGTGATTCAATTTCAAAATACAGTACAGTACTGTATTTCAACGCATTTGAAACTAAATCTGCAAATTTTACTTTAAAAAATGTCAATTTTCAGAATATCATTGCTGTAGTCTATTTTCATAAATGCATTATTTTCACCATCTTCGTCTGAAGTTTGACTTTTACCTCCTTCGTTTGACAATGTTTAAGAATTTATTAAGTACAGTATGGCACTTAAATGCCATGTGACCTGGTGGTTGGCATCTTTGAATTTCCATGCACAAGGGTGTTGATAAACGTTTTTATAGGCTGCCGTCTGAATAGCTTTTTGACCAAGAATTATTAATGTCGGCAAAGAACTCAAAATATCGGGTTGTAAAATTTGCAATGGATCTAAAAGCTACTTGTATAGATCACCATATTTACTACCGTAGTCTTTAATAATCGATATACATATCAGAATTAATATTCCGAACCAGACGTGGCAAGCCAAATAAATGAATGACAATAGCGGTGATTATACAAAAATAATATTTACAATAATTGTTGATAACAGATGGTGGAAATGTTATGTGTCTATGTTTTTGAGTTATTTAAATCCCACGGTAAAAGTTTTCACTCATGTAATACTCAGGTAATTTTCAAAAAACTTTAATTCTTATTAGTGTTCCTGTAAAGCTAACTGTGAATTGATAATTATGTAGAAAATATTCATATAATCAATAGGAATTAATAATAATGATGATAAACTGTAATGATGATGAAGGCATTGACAACAACATAGGGCCTATATCACAAATAATAATGTTAATAATTATGACAATAATAATACGCATCAATATCACATTCCAGTACTGTGCATATATTTATTAATGAAACCAATAATAACAGATGATACTAATTATAAAGATTATTAATTTATTGCCTATAATTACACCAATGATATATGTAAATTCATAACAATTATTGTATTATTACTAAATTATGATTGATTTAACATATTAAAATCAATGATTTTCCCTTTTGCTATACAAGGCGCTGAATAGTTCCGAACCGAGCCTTGGTACTGTAATCCTCAACTAAGCATGTAAATAGATAGGCCAATGAGGAATGTTAAGAGGCAGGTCTATGTCATACTCAAGTCTATCCACTTTAGAAGAAAAAAAAACGCCCTGTTATATTATTTATGGAGACAGTTCGAGCATGGACATTATCAGAGACAACATTTATCACCAGCTAATGATTTAGTATCGATTGTGACAAGAAATGTAATATACCGGATGAAAGGAATTGAGGATCACGAAAGAGCCAGAAGGCGCTATGCCGAAGGGGGAAATGATAAAGTGCGCAAGCCTAGGCCTTCGCTGCATACTGCGGCAACGTATAAATAGATGAGATTATACGTGTAATTAGAAAATCAAGAAAATATATGAGAAGTGTTTCAGAAAAAGAAAAATGAAGTGAGGGGAGTGGCCGACTAGATTAACTAATGTTTATGAGATGGAAAGCATGATTCAAGATAAAATATATACAGTAATAGCTTGTACAAAAATGCCGAATACATAGTAAGGCTAATTTTATACATCCATGGTAAGTATAAAACGTAAAGATATGGCAAAAAGGATGGTTAATTATCGTTACACTTTTTTTTTATAAGAACACATTTTATAAGAGGCTGAAATTGCTTAAAAATTAAGAACAAAATAAGAACAAATTGAGGCTGTTTTCAACTATTTTTTGTGGGGCCATTTTTGCTGGGCCTTTCTTTCAGGGGCCATTTTTTGCAGGGCCGCTTTCACCTCCCAGTACAGTGTACAATAATAATTTTCCATGTTTAAAAAGTGTGTAAAATAAGAACATTTTAAGCCTGAAATTGGCCAAAAAATAAGAACACTGAGCCTGGGCAAAATTTTACTGGTTCTTATTTTTTTAAAAAGGTGTATAGTAGCGACGGGAGAACTGAGGGTAAATCCGTCACCATTAAACACACATAGTACTGTAATGTATAACACAATACTAAGAATAAGATAATTTACATCTTTTAATAAGAGCATATTATAAGAACACTGAGGCTGAGATTGCTTAAAAAATAAGAACACGAACAAATTGAGGCTGAGGTAGAATTTTAAATAAGGTTTAATGATGTGACGTAATCTGAAGCTGAATCAGGAACGACATAAATATTCGGCTAATTGTGCTGAAATACATAATCATCCCCCAATAATAACTTTATATTTTATTATGAACAATTATAACAAAATAAGAAAATGTTGAGCCTGGAATTGGCAAATAAATAAATAAAACATTGAGCCAATGAAAAATTTTACTGGTTTAAGTATAGTGAAAAAGAAAGAATAGAAAGTACGAAACGGAAATTTTAACCAAGGAATTTTATCTGTAATGATAAAATCCTTGTTTTAACAAAGAATCGTTTTATCATGGTTTATGAGAGGCTACAAAGTTCCACGCGCAATATAAACACAGACTGGACCTTAGGAGAAAGACAAAGAGAATTGTAAATACAGAGGATAAGAAGGTACAAAAGACAAATTTCGAAAGTTGAGGAATGGAAGAATTACTTCTACACAGCTGCATACCCCCATATATGATCACCTACACACACTCACACATACTGTGAATCACCGATCACCGAAAAGCAGGCCTCCTATTGTTATTCCTAAAATTGCAATTCTTTCTTATCAAAATCACTAAAAAGCGATGTGGCACTTTGTGCACACTGCTTTAAAAACCTCGGATCCGTTCCTGATTAAATGATCATCTTTGGAGCGGGAAATTATTACAAACGTTTGTCGACTACAATGTTGGAAACACTCTATTAAGATTTTTTTTTTGTGTGTGTTTAATTTAGACATCAACGGCGGATTTGTGACACTTTTTATCAATTTCGAATGTAAAATAAATCCCGATGTCCTCAGTCTCTACCTTATTCCATACACTGTAATTATAAATCCTGTATATAGTCTAAATCAATTCAACCAATGAAATGCTTCGATATAGTTTAATGAATATTAATGACTGAATTAGCCAATGATGAACGCTCGTTTATGCAGCTATATAAATGCTGAGGCTATAGTTACTTTTTACATTCGTTGTCTCACTCCTAGCATTAACTAGGCCCCGAGAACGAGGACTGCAAATCATCTGGCCCAAAACTAGAAGGACAGCTACACAATTTTCAGGTTTTCATCAATTACCAGTCTACTTATATTACAAACATGGTAAGTTGAAATCAAGGTACTTGACTTTTCAAAATATTCGTGGCGCTCTCTCCATGTCTTAACTCGGACATTTTCTTTTGTAAAGAAACTGTTTCAAAAGCAAATATTAGTCAATGTTTAGGCCTATACTCAGTTCTCCAGTTGTTTGTTACGTACTTCCCTATATATTTTGGCTGTATAGGACTATGGGTAAATTAGATTTGTCTTTTACCCATATTCGTTCAAAATCTTGTCCTAAGCTAACATATTTCCCAAAAATACTTAGGACGAACAGAAAATAGGTATACTGTACATGCGAAACGATAGGTCTCTGTACCGGTACAAAATTATTATTGGGTTTCCCGGGTCTAAGCTTTATCCATTTTAACCTATTCTCGAAATTTGGTAGTTTTTGATCTGCCAACAGTAACTTTATCCTTTCAATATTCGTATGCGCAGATTATTTTCCATTTCCCACCATTCGTTTTGGGTGTATCCAGGCATTCGAGTGTGTCATTGATTTTAAAATCCCATTATTTCTGCATTTGAAATAAACAAAGCTTTCAACGGGAAGATTTTGAACCGTTTATGCGTAAACTCAATCACAACTCTAGAATAATTTACACTCAGAGTGTAATCAGGCCCAAATATCGATATTTAACGCACATTTGTCCAACCACGTAATATCATGCTTTTAAAAGAAAATTTACGACAGCTTTGTAATCAATCATAAACGCAAGGATAATTTCTCGTGAAATTCACCGATTTACAAAATCAATAGAAATCATCAGTCCTACAATTATGCATGTTATAGTTTGGCTTCATGCAGCTGTGAATTCTCATAATAAGTAAAGTATTATCAGTTTATATTTCTTAGTTCGTTATCTGTCCGATCGGAATTTTAACAGGATTTAAGAGGATTTTTAAACAACACTCTGTTTCCACAAGGCTATCCCCGACTGAAAGCGTGGACCACTGAATGGTCAACTTCTAATATGATCCCTGAATGTATCTCGATATGAATATTGTTCTAATTTCTATGTCTAGGAAACAGATGTTTTTAAGTGCCAACTGATAAACTATGGAGTTTTTAAATAGATCTTGTGAAATACATAATAAACTGAAATACAATTCTTCCCCTTCAACAACAATCTACCGGGCACCCGAAAGAACAATAATTTACACATCAATGTGCCCGGCCTATGTAAAGGCATAGGGCGTGGCAGTGGCCTAAATTATGACATTTATTTGTACACCATTGGAATGAATCCAATCTCCGATGATACATATCCCAGGCCCAGAATATGGTCTTCTTAATTTTTTTTATCAGCAGCATGGAATGGAATTTTAATGAGTATTATTATATTTGGCGGCAAACTCCGCAGTGCAACCGGTGCGTTTTTTACGAGTGACTATAGGCCTACCATAAATAATCTTTGACCATACGGATATAGATAGCCATTTAGGCCTACACATGTACGTATGCCTTTTCAAAATATAAATTACAAAAAAAATCATTGAAGCTGATAAGAACAATTCCGCTGATGGGCGGAACGACCACGTTGAAGAACTGAATATCCACTGAAAACCGAAACCAGGAAATCCAATAAACTAACAGGAGGTCGGTTTAATTTGAATCGGAAGTATTTTGGTTTTTAGGGTTGGCACTTGTTCAGTGAACCTCTCCAAATAGCTAAAATAAACAGACACAAATTAAATTATTAGCAAGTTTGAAGACTATCCCGTTGTCTGTTGTAAAGAGACACGATACTCGAACTGGAAACAACACGATTAGGGAACGCCTGAGTCGATAGGTTATTCTAAACAAAGTTCTCTCATTATACACGTATCAATGACCTATAAGCAACATATTAAATACGAAAGGGATTTGTTTAAAATACGACTGTAAAAAGCAACACAAATCATACTAAAATTTACTAGAATTAATTACAAAATAATTTCCCCAAGTGGATGAACACGTTATAATGCATTCGCAATAGTAACATTTTTTTTTTATAATAAGACAAAGTATGCGACATGAGAAACGTGATTTGCTTAAAGCATTAGTCATCAACGTTGAACATATCTTGTCCATAGCACATTAATTATCTTTCAAGTATGTGACATATATAATTAGCTAACATATGGCTTAGTATCTGCCGACTGTCAGGGTCAATTTTTTAAATACATTTTAAGTTACTGTATACTGGGATATCATTTACATGTTATAGGCTAAACAAATGAATGGTTCATTCACTAATTCACTAATAATAATAATAATAATATTATGATATTAATAATAATAATTATTATTATATTAATTTATTTAAATATAATTTATAGTTTAAACTAAGAATAATGAAATAAATTGGGGTATAGACAAAATTAAAATTATCAGCAAATTTACTGCTGCATGTTTGACAATATAATTTAACCTCGTAGGCAGGCATGGATATCCTTGGCTAATATTAATACTAAAAGATATCCTTGATTAGTATCTGTTGGCGAGGTTATTATTTGTATGATAGTTCAGAGATTAGGGTAGGACTAGATTTATTCTAGATCAAATTTACCCTTAACATGGGTCTACGTCTGTAGTAATATGTAATATGTCAAGGTATATACTAAAACTTAAGCCCTGGGGCAAAGACGCTACCAATTTCAATTTCTCTAAATAATGGAAATACTGATGAAGTTTTTCTATGAAAATCATGCTATAGGGCCAACCAATCACATGTTAGAGCTAGCCTAACTAGAATTATTTATCGTGGAGCTCTACAATATAATAATTTGCTGACATGACAATGTAGGCCTATTATAACACGAAGGATTAGTGTATGAGCAATAATACCTCCATGTATGAGAAATCGAAATACAGAACATGAACATTTATAGCTACAAAAATTAGATGCTTTCGATATTAATTGATGCATTTGTTGTGTGTTATGATTAAAAGACTGCATTGTCGTTTACTGAATAGTGTTGAAAATTGTATTATTTAAACATGTATAACCCATCACCAGTGGCGTAGAAAAGTATTTTTCATTGAGGGGGGAGGGGGATGATTGAAAATTCTTGGAATTGACATAAAATTACTGATGTCGTACACACCCTTCAGTGTGAAAATGTGGCTTGCTTTGCAAGCACATCTAACATCTAAGGAAAGAAGAGCTTAGATTGGTATTAGATAAAATAATTTTGTTATCAACATAAATACATTTATGCTAATTTTCATCTTTGTAAGCGCATAAGACATTGGAAATTATTTCTGTGACAGTCTTTTGAAGTGTGTAAATCTCCATTTTATCCCATACATAGTCAAAATATTGGGGGGGGGGGAGGGGGATAATACAATGGACCATCCCCCCTTGTCAAATATTGGGGGATATATCCCCCATCCCCTCCGGGATCTACGCCTATGCCCATCACAATAACAGATGTACACGCACAGTTAACACGTGTGTAAACTCTTCAAGGGGAGATTTTTTATTAATTCATGAATTGTATAAAAGAAGGTATCCCGGTAATCTCAGTGAACTTAAAGGGTACGACACGATACAACGTATTGAAAATAATTTTATTTTTATAGCAGAGAGGTATTGTACTGGTATCTCTTTAGCTTAGTAATCAACTACGTAGAATAGAACGCAAATATATTTCATACTATAGGTCTTTACGATTTCTTTATCTTTCAGCGTGAGTGTATTTCCATCCATGTTGGACAAGCTGGTGTCCAGATGGGCAACGCCTGTTGGGAGTTGTACTGTTTGGAGCACGGTATCCAGCCTGATGGTCAGATGCCAAGTGACAAGACCATCGGAGGTGGCGACGATTCATTTAACACATTCTTCAGCGAGACTGGTGCTGGTAAACACGTGCCTCGTGCTGTATTCGTCGATCTCGAGCCAACTGTCATCGATGAGATCCGTACCGGTACATACCGTCAGCTCTTCCATCCTGAACAAATGATCACTGGAAAGGAAGATGCTGCCAACAACTACGCCAGAGGCCACTACACCGTTGGCAAAGAAAACATTGATCAGGTCCTTGACAGGATCCGTAAACTATCCGATCAATGCACCGGTCTTCAGGGATTTCTGATCTTCCACAGCTTCGGTGGTGGTACTGGATCTGGTTTTACTTCACTCCTCATGGAGCGTCTGTCTGTTGACTACGGAAAGAAATCCAAGCTCGAGTTCGCCATCTACCCAGCACCCCAGATCGCTTCTGCAGTCGTAGAACCATACAATTCCATCTTGACAACGCACACAACCCTTGAACATTCCGACTGTGCCTTTATGGTCGACAACGAAGCCATCTACGATATCTGTCGAAGAAACCTTGACATTGAAAGACCAACCTACACCAACTTGAATCGTCTGATTGGCCAAATCGTATCCTCTATTACTGCATCTCTCCGATTTGATGGTGCATTGAACGTGGACTTGACAGAGTTCCAGACCAATTTGGTACCCTATCCACGTATTCACTTCCCTCTTGCCACCTATGCTCCCGTTATTTCTGCTGAGAAGGCTTACCACGAGCAACTCACAGTTTCTGAAGTCACCAATGCCTGCTTCGAGCCAGCTAACCAGTTGGTGAAATGTGATCCACGTCATGGAAAATACATGGCTTGTTGTCTGTTGTACCGTGGTGACGTTGTGCCAAAGGATGTCAACGCAGCCATTGCTACCATCAAGACGAAGAGAACCATCCAGTTTGTTGACTGGTGTCCAACTGGATTCAAGGTCGGAATCAACTACCAACCCCCAACTGTGGTACCAGGAGGTGACTTGGCCAAGGTACAACGTGCCGTGTGTATGTTAAGCAACACCACAGCCATCGCCGAGGCATGGGCTCGTCTTGATCACAAGTTCGATCTGATGTACGCCAAGCGTGCTTTCGTACATTGGTACGTAGGTGAAGGCATGGAGGAAGGGGAGTTCTCCGAGGCTCGTGAAGATCTGGCAGCTCTGGAGAAGGACTACGAAGAAGTCGGCGTAGATTCCCTTGAGGAGGGTGAAGAAGATGATGAGGAATATTAAACGCAATAGCAATAAACAGATGCTAACTTAATACCAAATTAGTGCATTTGACGACGCTTTTAATTTCAAGATAGTACTCCAATTGCAATTGTTCTTCCAATAAAAATTTAAGTTCATAACATTAAAAGAAAATTATTATCCATTTCAAAATAAAAGTCACAATAAATCATGAATGTCAACCGAATATATTCGTTGTTTCATAATTTATGTTTTAAAATACATGATGACGACATCAAACACTGGGACAATGTAATTACATCGAAACACCTAAGGACCATTATACAATACGCGATTTATTTAATTATTTTATTTAAGGAATGTAGCCCATTCATTAAAGGTGATCATTTAAGGCCCTCACATAAATAAAAAATACAACTAAAAACAGTAAAAGTTGTTGATATGATGAAGATAATGTCGGTGATGATGATAACAACGACGATGATTATAATGGCGGTGATGATGATTATAATGATGATGAAATTGAGATGATGCATATTGTCATTCTGATGTTAATGTAAATGATTTCGGATGAGAGGATCATAAAATGTAGATATGGGGTTTCTATGATTCCATTGCTCATTATTGATTTTACTTTAGAGTTTGGACATTCGAACATTACCAACGGCTTCAGATTAAGCTACTACGGACTGTTACACATTACGGTATCTGTCAAATGTTGATTAATTTCAGATTATAATTACTAAGGCCAGATGGAATACATGTGTTGCGGTTAAAATTAACATTGTACGCGTGTTCTACCCAAAGTTAACAGCACATGACGTAGACCCACTCCCAGTGACTTATTTTCTGCGTTTCTATCCAGTGTTGGAAGGGAACCCATGGAAATAAATCTGCTATTGGTTTTCTTGGGCTATCCTGACCAATGTATGTTAATATGTTTTCCAATACTTTTTCTGTCATTTTTAATCTTTCATATTTTTATTACTACTGTATTTTGGTCGAATGAATGAATGAATGAATAAAAGAATGAATGAATGAATGAATAAACGAATGAATGAATTAACTGGGGCCCCTACATGTTATGGTAAATGCTTCTTTTGCCCTCTACCATGGGGACCGGGAGCAAGCATTGCATATTAAAAAATTTAAGTTTGGCCTAAGTTTTGTCTTAATTATTCACACCCTAGGTTTCATAAATACTAAATATTTCAATCTTTCCATGGAATGAAACAATGCTATAGACCAGACTAATTATATCCTCATGCTAAGGGCACCCTTCTATGTATAGTAATACCAGACAAGGATATTATTATTTACAATAGTACTGTATGTAATAGAACTATTATTGACTAAAGGTTAAGATATTCTAAAATAGCGGTAAACTGCTGTTAATAATCTACTTGGCATTATTTTATGTAAGCATTAAATCTATGACATTTGTCTCAAACAACACACGTATTATTGATGCTTACGGTTGCTAAAGAAATGTCAAAATATCACGTAGGATTGCAACAAAAGAAGGTTGGAGTTCAACCGAAAATGTTTTACTTTTTGCAACACGAGTGTAGAGTTATTTATTC